GAGGCCGCTCATGGCGCCCCTCTCCCGCCCTGCAGCCCCCGGCCGTGTGAGCACGGGCGGCGGGACCGCGGCGGCCCCTTTCTTCCCAGCCCCCTAAGAGGCGGGTCATCCATTTCGGACCGGCCCCTTGTCCGTGTCGGGGTACAACCATCGCCCCGTGCCGGTCCCGTTGGCAGCACTGCCCCCTCCAACCGACCGCACCCGGCACACAGCAACACAGCACCTGGAGGGTTTTGTCGTTTTATTTAAACTCTGTTACAACAAAATATACAGTGGCATTACAGAGTACAGTATCCCAAGAAGGTAACATTCATTCTGTGCGTTAAAAAAAAAAAAAAAAGAAGAAGAAGAAGAAACAGCGTTTGCCTGGCTCCTACCTACTTCATCACATTCGGGACAGAAGAGGAACAGATGCAGTAAGGAGGGCTTGCACTTGTGTGCTGGAAAGCAGAGCTAGTGTTGCCTATAAGGGACTGCCTGGGTAATAAAACTGCCTAGCTTCTGCCCCAAACTTGGCGGGGGGGAAATATCATCACGCGTTCTACATTTACAAACAGTTACTGAAATTCAACTACCCCGCTCCCTGCCAAGTGAAAATTACAATGAGGGAAAAGGTTTGTTTCCCTTTAGAAGATGACTTCATTATGTTTAATGCTGAGATGATCTTGAGCATCTTCAGCGCTCTCCAGGGTTTGATTGCTGTTGTCACCGTCGGGGACCTCAGCTGAAACACGGGCCTGGCTCTCCCTGCTTTCCCTGGACGGGGGGCTGTCGCCTCTGGCCCCCCACTCGCCGCTGTCTCTCTCGGGGCTGTCGAATTTCTGGCGGCTGTCCTTCTCCAAGCTCCGCTCAGGCAGCTTGCGGCCCACCTCGTTGCTGTCGTGCCCGTGGCTCTTGTCTCCCCACTCCAGGCTGTCGGCGTACTTCTCGGCGGAGCGGTGCGCCCCAAAGGCTTCCCGGGAGAACCCCTCTTGGTGGCTGTCGGCAGCCAGGGCGCTCAGGTCCTCCTCGGTGACATCGTGTACCATCAGCTGCTTTAAATACACAGGGAAAGAAAAAAAAAATGGCCAAAGGGCCGTTGTCGATTTTGAGCATCACCAAGTATCCCGCTACCACACCAAGAAAGCTGTCCAGTTGGGTCCCAGGGATACACCTGGGCTCATGTTTGATACCAGTTTTGCCAACTTTCCCCTCTCACAATCCTCTCACAACCAATTCCCACAAAAGCACTTGTCTATTTTGAGCTTTGCTACCCTTGTACAGTAACCTGGGCACCACTGCTCAGTGCTCTTTACCTTTCTTGCAGCTTTGTGGAGTTTGCTGGGCTTCATCACTGCAGGTTCTGCCTTAATTCTGTATGCGACGCTGTCGCCTCTGCCTGCGTTGTCTCCCCGGGTGAAAGGGTAGGGAGGGAAGGCTGCAGTTACCGGAGCATCGGTGGGAAAAACCGTGACAACCTCATCAGATTCATCCGCGTCATTGGAATCATTATCATCTACGTCATCATCTGGATCCTCATGGCTCTTGCTGAACACGGCAGGAAAGCGCTGAAAAACATTTAGTGTGCATCATGCACGTGAGCATATACGGGATGGACAGTGCTCATGCACTGTTGCATATCTAAAAGAATGAAGCATTTATTTATGGGGCGCTGTTAGCATGAGAACTGCATTTTAGTAAGGAAATTGAATACTGCTATCCACTGTCTGCTACGTAGCCCTTATTTAGCTGTTGTTTAAAACTTACCTCCGGTACAAGGACATCAGCTCTTTCTTCTGAAGAATAGAGAGTCTGAAAGCAATAGAAAATTCGTTACTAGCACACAGAGGCATATACAATAGCACTGATAAGAAAACGCTGGCAGCTTAAGGACTCAATCGTAATACTCTGCTTCGTCTTCCAACTAGTCACAGGTACCTTCTGAGGCAAAGCCAGGTCTTCTCGTGGAAGCAGCAGATTCTCTAGAGACTGAGAAGTCACATGGTGGTGTCTGTGTGATTGGTGGCCCCTGGCATCCTGCAAAAGAAAAACGGAGGTCTGAATCTGCAAAGGAGCATACGGGAGCAAGCAAATGTGTGTGCGTCACAAGATCTGGTTTTGGGCACCTGCAATGCACTCCCTTTTTTTATGACAAATGTCTTCAGCTATTCATTGCAAAAGGAAGAGAATTCAGACAGCCAAAATCCCAGATTAATTCTACGAACTAACAGTATAATACTGAAGAAGGGCTTCTCAGAGAGATGGTGGCAGGGCTTTGAGAATTTCCAATCAACTTTTCCAGCTCATTTTAATTTGATGAAATTTGGATTTGTCTCTAAGCATCATAACTTCTATTACTTTTCAGGTTCTCTTCTCAGCAATATTATACCTCCACATCATTGAAACTCTATAAGATAAATACAATACCTGATTCTTGGAGTAAATAGATAAATCATTTTACTTTACTGGTAGCCTAATATGGAGTATAAATCAAAGAGCAATGCTAATAACCTTAATATGACAGTAATCTTGATCTTTGCATAGTATTACCTCATTTCTCTGCTAACTCGAAACAAGCAGGTGGCAGTTCGATAGAGAAGTTGTCTTCACTCTCACATAATCAAAAAATTAATGGAATTTGGACCGAAATGCTTTTCTGCTATCAACTATTACCTGAGTCTCAGTAATGAATGTGAGTTATAAAACTATGCTGTACTGTAGTCTTTTTTTTTTTTTAACAGAGAAAGCATTTACACGTTTTTAATTAAAAAAGAAAAATAGGTCTCCTGTGTTGGTCCAGAGACCTTATTCAAGTACAGGACCAAATACCAGGTTGCATAACATAGCATAAATCTACAGAAGTCACTAGAAATCCACTAATTTGTCTAGCTAAGAAACTGGCTCATAATATCTAGGTTCAGATATTCTTATCTACGTTCTGCAAGCAGCTATAGCAGTTAAATGTGTATCACTGTGTGTATTAGCATAAATCAAAATGGCACTTTTAAAGAAAATAACTACAATATAGGCAAGGCACACAAAAGGGACTTACATATTTTTCTTCAGAGCTGGCAGAAACAGCATGCTGCTTGGATTTGCTCAGCTTGAAGGGAGGAAAGAGGAAAGAGTTTGTCAGTAATAACTCTTTGCTAATGTGCAAAGTGAATATGTAAGTGATTGCTAATATACATCTACGATTTACTCACTGGCCATGCGATGGTGATGCTGATAAAGCACAAACAAAGCACTGCCACCTTCATGATGAGGTTCTCCCTACAAAATATTTTGGAACAGTGAGTCAACAAAATAAAATACTGTGGACGTGCCACAGGCTATTTCTTTCTCCTGTTGCACTTCACTGTGCTTTCTTGTGATTCAGGCTGCCTGTGCCAGATTTATTCCTCTCCCTCACACCATTCACCACCTCACATCTCGCTGGAAGTCAGGAATACAAGATTCCCCTCAAGAGGAATTTTCAAAGGAGATAACAAAAAGTGCTGAGCAGGGTTGAGAGTCCCCCACCTTGAGAAGATGAAGAGAAAATTCCTGTTCTCTACCAGTCTGACTTGGTGAAGGGCAAAGCTTTGTGAAACAGAAAGAGCAAATAAGGGTTCCAGCTTAGGCTTATCAAAGCACTGCATCAAAAATGAGAGATCAGAACAAACTCTTCCTCTGTTTATTTTAAAACTAATTTTCAGAATTATTATCTGCAATGGCTGTAAGTAACATCAGTTTATACAAACAGAAACTGCTTTTATTGATAGGCTCTTTTCCCCCCTCCAGAAATCAGAATAAGGCAACCTGTGTTTCCAGCAAGTGAAGTGAAATTTATCTGCTCACAGAGTTTTAGCAATTTATTAAATGAATGACTCCTGATAAAACTTTGGCAGTATTGAGCCAAATACTTTTACTGTAGTAAAGATTGGTGCTCATTAACCAGTCTCCAGCCTGGTAAACAACATGCCTGAGAAGTTAAGTGGATGCAGCGTTGAACAAGAAGCATTTAAAACATCAGTAAATCACAGCAGGAGAGAAAAATAAGGTACATTTAGAATGTGTGTACAAGCTGGCACTGGAACAAGACATCACATTGGAAGCATTGTAATTTCACGAGTTAAATAAAGATGAATTGGCCCTGTCCATTCAGTAGTGCGCAGCACAACGCCTACCAGGAGAAAGTGAGATATTGCGAGGCAGTGGTTACAGGAGGGAAGAAGCTTTCTAAGGTCAAGTACCAGCTACAAGTTTCTAGCAGTTGATTCAGTGGCAGAGACTTCAGTGTCCTCCTCCCAACATCTGTCAGCAGTCAGGGATTTAAAATTACAGTCCTGAATAGTACTCTCCTGCCCAAGGCTTCCTCGACTGAAATCTATGGACATAAGCATGCATGTCAGGTAACAAAATGGAAAATTACCTGTTCCGATGCCGGAGGAGTCAGTTGCGACAGGAGCTCTGGTAGCGCTTCCAGCAGCAGCTGCAGCCAGTTGCCTCCGAGTAGCTTGGGCTTTCTCCCCGTGCCCCCTGGACTGCCTGACATCTCCAGCCTCGGGGAATTTAAACCCTGGCCTGGCGACCAGCTGCCAATCCCCGCGTGGCGGAAAGGGATGAGGTCATGAGGCTTCTTGCCACCGAACTGCCCACGTTCTCCTACACTTCCTCTTTGGCTTTGTGGCTTCTGAAGCAAACAAAGGCTACTCTATGGTTAAAACATTACTTATGTGCAAGATCATTAACCAGCAGGTCTGCTGAAGGCACACAGCGTTTGGTATCGTGTAGGAGGACGTCGGGGCACATCTATCTTGCTTCTGTGAAAGGGCAGAATCCAGGTTCCCAGAAATCTCTCATTCCTGGTTCTGTATGGGGGAAGAATATATAAAGTTTGTAGGAATAGAGAAACCTGATCACGAAACTTTCCCCTCAAAAGTACTAATGCTTCCATAAAGATTTAGAGTTGATCTCCAGGGTACCTGGAGTTCAATGGGAACTGCAAAGACAGGGTACAGATTATGGCATTCTGCCATTTCAAGCTACGCAGAGTAAAAATAATATTCATGTGTCTCAATAGGTGTTCTGCTTCCAGAACCTCAGTGGGAAAGATATAACAATACAACATTTGCTCCTGAGTGCTGCATCCCTGCTGCTGGTGAGCAACAAATCTATTCTAGTGATGCCTTGCTTCGATATCCATAACATTAGATAGATTCTGCTTTGTCTGTAATGTGTTCTAGGATTTGCAGACCCTCTTCCTGTTGCTGTTCCTTGCAAATAAGAATTGCTCATTCAAGCACAGAAAAATCTTATAACTAGCACTTTGAGAAGGCAAAACGTTCATGACTATTTTGAAGCTGATATCTTTCTCTCACATAGCTAATGCTTACTTATGTAGTTTATCAGTGAATATTTCAGTACTGTGACAGAACTGATATCTGTCCTTAGTTAAGAAGCAATGCAACAGGCACCTGCTTGTCACAACTCCCATAAATAGTTATTCAGTACCTAACATTTCTGTTGCACCATTGAGAAACACCATAAGAAACATTCCCAAGCTAGTTCTGCATCTGCCCATCACAGCAGCACATGGATCTATCTAATTATGTTTGTGAGTTGAGATCAACAACAACTAGAGGTCTAACTTGGTCTATTTTAATAGAGTATCTTAATATCCAGGAGGAGAGTTGGGAGCACACATACACTAGATCCCATCTTGAGTCTGTAAATACCTACTGGGCTGTGCCAACCACTAATCAAGAAGCAGGAGACTGAATAAAAATACAATATCAAAAAATGCCCTACGGCTCTTCTTTGACCAGAACAAAAACTGCAAGACCTTCCAGAGCATGCAATATGCAGAATGGTGTATTGCCCTCTGTCAGACTTTCAGCCTTAGTAAAACACATTTTATTTCAGTATCTGTGATTTTTGTGAATTTTTCTCACCAAATTCAGCAGCAGCAATCAGTCATGCTGACTGAGAAGTCCAGATGCATTAGAAATACAGTCTCTGTGCAGTTTGTTAAATACCCTACCATGCAAGAAAGTTAAAACTGTGTCTCAAAGCGAATGTTTTCTGAGCACCCGGAACACCTGTCTCCAGCAGAGGCATCCTGTGAGCCCCAGGGCCTCGGTTCTGGTATAAACAACTGATATTTCCAAAGTACCGGAAGATGGCAGCGTTTCTGAGCACTGCTGCCAAAGCTGTATGGTTGATTTCGTAAGAACCAAGGAACACAATAGTGATGTTTTGCAGGAATCCAGAAGCAGGACGTGAAGTGACAGATACTAAATGGCTTCATTTTATGCAAGATCAGCCAATGCAGAACTGCAGTAAATTTAGCACTCGTCTCACGCCACATCATTATGCGGTTATTCACCCTGTAAATCATTGTCTAGCTGAGAAATTCCTCTGCCTGGGTAGAAGGTAGCCCTTGTCCTCTCGTACGTAAGGAACAAGCAGAGCAGAACGGGGGGCTTCCACTCCTTAAACTCAAACACTTAATTCTAGAGAGAGTGTTTGGCTGTACAAGCAGCTTGCTTGCATCTGTACAGACAAGATGCATTATTTTGGCCTTCAAAAACAGTCAGTGTCCATGCAGAAGGGGACCGTGGCAGACTGTATTTTTTTTTCACTTGCAGAGTAGAAAATCTCCCCTGTCTGGTTGAACACAGCTTTTGACCGCACTTTGTTCCATCTTGGGCTATATTAGGAGTGTGTGGTTAGACTGATGTTCTCTACTGTAGAGAAGCACTATCAGTGCTTCCTCGCACCACCTCCCATGCATACCTAAAATCCCGAGTCAAGACACCAGCACGGTGCCCAGGACTATCTCTGGCCCGCGTGGGAAATCCCAGCCTGCCTGCAATGATCAGCAATGGCCAGGCTTTCAAGAGAGTAATTCTGGTTGCTCTTTCTCATACTAGTCCTGTATATCTTCTCCAATACCACAGCAATTAATCCTTTGGGTACGGAGGAGCCTGTGTTTCTTACTTGATCCCTCCTGTTTGTTACACATCGGGTTGAAGAACAACGCTAGCTCCATTTTTTTGACCTCAGATGCATTTAGCCTCAACATTTTAAACCATGCTCATGTTCGCTAAGCTAGCTGACTGCTCTGGCTGCCTTAGCGTAGCGTGGCCATGCCCAGCGGGGCTTCCAAAGCCTCTCAAGACAAGGCTTGCACTGCCCCATCTGAGCACTGCACAGCTCTCCTAATGACCAGGCTTTTCCTGTTGACAAACCTGAACCTGCAAATGTGGAATACACGGCCATCATTTCTTGCTGTATTGGTTGCCACTATGGAGAAGAGTTTGCCTTCGTCATCCCAGTGAAGCCCTTCCCCAGGAGCCATAGGCTGCCAGGAGGTTGTCTCTTTGCCTCCTCTCAGCCAGGCAGACTAAGTCTCAACCTTCGCAGGCCATCTGCTTTAGGCTATCCTGGCAGCCTCCCATTCAACAACCTCCTCTTGAAGATGAAGGCCTCGGACCAGGCACAGCCTTGCTGCTACATGTGGCCTCAGCAGCCCTAAGTCCAAAAGCAATGCTAACTCCACTCGATCGGAGGTCTGCACCCCTGAATGTAGCCCCGAGTGCAGGATGGTTCTTTTGCACACTGCAGGCACAGGTTCAAACCGGGGTGCACCATAACACTTGCATCCTTTTGGGCTGTGCTCCCCTGACTGCTGCTCACCTGGTACTCAGGGGTCCATCATAGAGCTTGCACCTGGAGCTACTTGCCGAGCCCATTACTATCAAGTAACCCACTGCTATGAAGTTAAAAAAAAAACAAGAAACCCCAACTTGGCAAAGCTCCCATAAACAACTGCTCTGCAGCTAGACCGTCCCAGAGAAGAGTAGACTTTGTAGTAAATAGTGGTTTCTATGAAAAACAGATGAAACCCAAAACATTCTTGTATCATCACCATGAAATACGCCTGAAAAGTGCCTGAAAAAATGAGTATTTCAGGCAGATATAACATATCCCCAGATGCCCTCAAATCTCCCACTTAAAGCCTCAAAAGTGGGGAAGAATTTGCATGCATCTGTAGAGAGTCCCAAAAAAACTCCCTCCTTTTAAATAGACTACACAGACCACAAGAACAATTCTGTCTAGGTCTGGGGGAGTACTCGGTACGCAGGAGAGAAATTGGCTGCAGACCAGTGTGATAAAAAAAAAATTACAACAGGGATTTGCTTCTTGAGTTTATGAGCACTGCAACAGAGCGTGAGATGCAACGCAACCGCTTTGCAGCACTTCCAAAACAGAG